AAGAGAGAGGGAAGGGAGGAAGGAGAGGAAGAGAAAGAAGGAAACTTCACTTAGCCTGCACTATCTCAAAGCCCATCCTAGCAACTGACCGATTCACTGGCTCAGACCACAATAAACTGATACCCAGGGCAGCCTCAAGCTTGTAGAGTAGTTAGACACTCCTAACAGGAGGAGCCTGCTCTAACACTGACCCACCCTGCAGAGGAAGTCGACAAAGAACAAGTTGACCCTTACCACCTCTGGTAGCTACCGACCCACTAACTAGCCTTTCCTCTCTGGGATCCCTCTCAGAGTAGGACTGCTTCCTTCGCAGCAGGGCTATTTATTTTGCAACCAACCAATTAGAAGTGGTGAGGTGGAATTTTCGTAAAAAATATCTGCGTAGGGAGCCAGAATCAATTCTGGCCGTTTGCCGAATACACCTGCATAGTTTTGTTTTTGTAGGCAAATATACCCCTGTGTCCGAGTCCACTCATCCAAGGGCATATGCGGCGGCTCCAGTGGGCAGAGGGCAGAGGGGAACAAGGGCGTTCGGGCCCTGCCACGGAGTCGTCTTGGGCTCCGCGGGTCGGGCAGGGGCAGCACTGCCTGCCTTCCACCCGCCGCGCGGGTCAAGGAGACCCAGGCTGCACTTACATCCGGCCCGAAAGCTCCCGGCGTGTCCAACCCCCTCCTCCTCGGAAAAAGTTCCGGCATCTGAAACATGGCCTTCTCTCGGGGCGCCTCACCGCGTCGCCGAGGCAACCGGCCGCCAACGCCCTGAACGCACGGCGCGGAGGTGGGCGGGTGGGGGCGCGGATCTCGCTTCCGCCTGAGGCAAACCCACCTTCCCGCACGCAGCCTTTGCTGTGGTGGCTTGTTGTCGTTTCCATAGCAAAGCTGCCGGTTGTGGGGGGTGGGGGGGTGGTATTTCTTTAGTACACATATTTCCAACCGTGAACTAAATCACTTCACTATTTTCTTTTAATTGGAATAACTAGATTCATTTCCACAAGGCAGATCCAAACTTTAATAGCACAAAATTAAGTTCAAATGCAGGTTGATACTAGGTTGATTTGGGGGAGATGAGGGGAGAAAGCGTGGAAATTGGGTTTTCAAAACTTGATTCTGCTGCATAACTAGATGTGGAATCTAGGACGAGACAGCACTGATCCTATTTCTGAAGATACCCAAATCAGATGTTAGGAGGATTTTCAAGGAGTAGTATGTGTAAATCACGACCCTTAATAAGTACTCAAAATTAGTGTTGCTCAAAGAAACTTGCTTTGTGTCAATGGGTATTCAATTGATATTTTTACATTTACACTTTTGAAATCACGTGTCTTGTAATTCTCTCTTGCAATTGAATTGATATAAAGATTACGGTTCTTTCATTCCCACAGTGATGTAAGCAATGCTAGATGACACTAGATGACTGGGACTGCCTCATATATTCTTTTAATCCCGTTTACTTAGTACAATAGATGCTTAGTAAATAGTTGGTGATTGTATACTCTCATAAACTCCCATAAAAAAGACAATCACTGTTTACAGTGGTATAAAATTGTAATCATCCAGATTTACCTTTTATTCACTTGAGTCCATTGCTAGCAGCTGTTCTGGTTGGCTCAGGCATATAAAAACCCACCTACTTATACACTGGCAGTGCTGCCTTGAGGCTGCCTACAAGATGACTCATTTGAAAAGGAATAGATTTTTTCACCAAGCAGTGCGTATAACTTAGGGTGGGGAGAACAGGGAGAAATAATAAGCTGAAGCTCCAGAGAGGCCTAAGAAAGACCAAGGATTCTGGATGGAATCCATCCACCTCACAAGCATTGTGAGGAAAACCACGCTTCAGCCAATCTCTTCAGTTTATCTCAATGAGTGAAGAAATGCTAATAGAAAACCAAAGATCTTTCACACCTCACCATAGTTTAACTTCAGGCTGTGTAATGTACAAAACTAAGGTAAAAATAAGAGTTGAGAACCCAAAAAAATGACCTACATAAAAAGTTACATGACAAGTTATTTCACACGTGCTAGAGGGATGTAATATTTAAAGGAAAATTTCTATAATTTTGAAGGGAACATCTTATACTTCTGTATTACCAGACTCTAACAAAAGAAGGAATATAAGATTGCTTTTATGACTCTTAATTATTTAAAGTTACCCACTCATTTCTTAAGTTAGAGTTTTCATCAAATAGTTTTTTTAAATGACATTAGAAATTCGCAACCTAAAATGGAAATATAATTTTCCCTTTAAAAAAATTCATGTTATAAAGTAAAAATAAATATTTAATAATTCCAAGTGTCCTATGAGAGAAAGATTTTTTTTTCCTAATTGAAACTTTCCAAGGTTATATAACTAAGAATATACAACACAAAACTAAATTGCTGGTCTCAGATTTTAGGCCCAAGACATTAATCAAATATAATGCATGCTTATATTATGAAAAAGTCATAATGGACATGTTTTCATGGTGTTACAATTCTACCTTTAAAAATGAAAATGTTAAATTAAAGCAGCAATGTCAATATTTTAATTAGCAACTTCATTTTGGGTGCCTTACTTCCAATATTGAATTTACAACCTAATCTATATTGAAGGAAAAGCTATGGCTTCTTATTTGTTCTAAAAGACATTTCAGCATTAAGTACCACCCTATTAAGTTTCAGAAATGCATATACCCTAAAATATTTCCATTCTAAAAGCTATATCAGGAATAAATACTGGGCTTTTTCTAAAGCTCCATACTTTTTCTTTAAAGAATGAAATTCTATCTAATACCAATGCTTAAGGACAGTCCTTTGAAACAATTTTCTCATACCTATCTATAAATTAAAAATACAGAAACAATTGAATATTTGTTGTCCCTTAACCTAAACATATATATTCCTTTAGCAAATGTCTTGAGATGTATGGATTTAAGATTTTTTAAAACTTCAATTTAATTCGTGTTCAAAAGCTCAAGGGAAACATCCATCACAGTAAATTTTAATAAAATATATTCAATTTAAATAGATGAAGGCCTTATCATGGACCTAGTATTTGAGCTTCATAAAAGAAATCTTTTGACTTCATCTAGATAGCCAAGTTGTATTCCTGTTTAAGATTATATAGGACAAATTCTCAAGTCTCCTTGACATACTGCTTAGATGATTTATTAAATATCCTATTATGCATGTTAAGTTTCAATATGGAGCATTACTATCTCCTAATGCACAAATCAAGTTTTAACGAAATTCCATTGTACATATCAAATTAATACCAAAAAATTTAGAGTGAACTTGTTTTGAAATTTCATACATCTCAAATACTATAAACAACCTGTTACATCTTATTCTGACAGATGTCTAGTTTTATTGCCTCAAAACAGGGGCACTATGTTAACCAGACATTCAGGTAAGAATTTAAGTGCCTACTTTGAGAAATGTATTTTTTTAATCCCTTAGTATTCTATATGTACTGCATTTGCTTTAGTCATGACCATTAGTCTCTAATATACTCACTACTTTCAAGTTCAAATGATGCTTAATTATTCCTTAAACTGTAATTTACCCTTGTCCTAACATCAAGTACTTTTTCCACTGTCATTTGACTATGGCTGATCTAACATCTGCTAAGGAGTTCCCAGGGCTTATTCGGTTACCAGTTTCAGCTGACCCCTGGAAACAGTGAATGGCTGCTTTGGTGGCTTTATCTTAATAATATTCAGATCTAGGTAAATTTGAGAAGACAGAAAAATAAAAACCCTCAAGAAGGCTAGGTGTTTTACAAATTACTTTTCAAAAAATAGAAAATGAAGTATCTACATAGACTGATGTTATTGTTATAGCTAGTTGCCAGAGGCCAGGCCACAGAATCAAAGAGACTACCACTAGTAGTCTTTAATGTTTTTAGAAACTAATGTCTTCTAAAGTAAGGTCTAAATGGAATCAGACTCTACCAAATTGCACTTAAAGAAAGACTCCATTATATTTTGAAGTTAAAGCAAGGGATAAACACTTTCGACAAATAAAGGACTAATAAAAGTTTAATAGAATGGGTATTATCTTGGTAAAAAATAATTGTAAACGTCACTCTAAGGCAACTATTGACCTGTTCTGTTAGTACCAAGGCAGCTTATCAAATATTTATGTGACAGTTTGTAGTCAATAAAACACCTTAATGCCTCCTTGCTGTAAACTTTTCACCTGCTTGACACCAGCACTGAAAAACGCAAGTTACCTTCAGTTTTTCAGTGTAAAGAGCAATTACTTTAAAAATTTTAAGTTTATTTTGAAGCAATTTCACAATTGCCTTTCTATCTTCATCCCCCAACCGAAAGAAGACTTGCTTAAAAATATATATATGTACAAAAAATTCAGCTCTTGTGTGAGTGGGTCATTACCAACATCCAATATTTCTAGGCTAATTTGTTCTCTAATTTTTATATTATTTCAAAAGTTAATCTCTCTGCATGATAAAGGGTCCTCTACTAAATTAAAAATATAGCTTCTATAATTCACTGTGATCTTATGAACATCACTTGGAAAGAGATATCAAAATGTCTGTATGTGGTGAAAACATTAGGTTAACTATGCATTTTCCAATCAGCTTTACTGAATTTCTCCCAAGTTCCCCTTATAGAGAAAAAATCAGAACAAAGCAGGAGTGTAATTCCACTGAAAAATAAACATGAACCCCCTTCTCCCAAATATGTGGATTTTAAAGCTTAAGTCCAGGAATAGTGGCTCCCAGAGGGTTACAATAGTCCAATCTGTAACAATCTCAACTCGGATATGTAGGAAAATGAACAAGCTGTATATTAACAAAATATAGGGCTATCTTGCAGTTTCCCTTTATAAAAAGAAATCTATTCTAGTGATTTAAGGCAGGTATTGCAAAAGCATTATGATTCTTAAATCAGAAAAAGACACTATATCATCTCCTATTCCCTAAGAAATTATACCTGCTGGAAACATATCCTTATGAAATTTGCCTTATGCTCATAAGCTGTTTTACTAGAAAATTAAAACAAGTTTGACCAAATTTGGACCCAATATTAAGTGGCGTTAAAGTTTGTCTACTGGCTCTAGTTTCAGGCACTTATATGTCACAGAGAGCAACGTTTTAAACTACTTTGTACTATTATCAGAAGACAACTCCTGCTTCAGCTTTTGTTTAGAAAAAGAATCATTTTACACTTAACTGCAGAATATAGCTTGTATTTTGCTGGACTATTCAGGTGACTGTCACTTGAACAGCCAAGCCTTAGGAGTCTGGGTACACTGGAAGACCCCAGTATGGTTTCTGTATTAAAAGAAGAGAAAAAAAGTTTACCCAGAACTTCTCCCTTAAATTGTTAGTAATTCAAAGCAGGAACCTCATCTGAGAATTAGACAAGATTGAGTTAAATAAATTTCACCTTAATATCCTACTTAGTTAAAGACCAACATATGTAAATACCAAGGGAAAATTAAAAACTCCAAGACAGTAATTTTGAGATCAATTTCAGCTTTACTTTAAATTTGTATTTATGCAATTGCTTGCAAAAAGAATGCCTGTCCTTGACTTTACTGCGATGTTTACTTTCCTTAAAGTAGTGCATAAAAATAAACAATTCAAGCTTCTATATATTTTATTGTTACCAAGCTTCCACAAAACGTGTGCAAACTTCAGGTCTCCCATCTCCAAACTAAGCTAACCAAAACTGCCCAAGTCAGCAAACATGCAAAATGCATTAAAGAGAAACCTCAAATGTTTTTTAAAATCAAACTTTAGAACTA